CTCAGGTATATAAATCATTTCAAACGCTATGATATTATACTAATTGTAAATAGTTTATAGTTATTACAATTTATAAGTATCTTAAAATGAAACAACATATACATGGAATAACAATTTTTAAAAATTATTTTTCACGCATTTTTGGCAAACCTTTTATATTACATTATGTTTTATTTTTTAGGGTGGGGAGGTATTAACCTTATTATTTTTTTTATTAAAATTTACAACTGTAGTAAAACCTTAGCTATTAATCAACTACATGTGTGTTATGATATAGCAACATGACTTGGATTCGGTTGGATCAAGAGTTAATATTGGAAGGATGGGTATCTGGATTGGAAAAAATCCGAACTTATGAGCATGATGATTATCATGGACGATTTTATTCGTAGAAAACTATGAAGCATTGAGAATTTTACGAAGAATTCGGGATTGCAAGGATTGGATTCTAGAGGAATTCGATAGTCTAGCAGAACCCTATGGTTTGACTCCGAAAATGAAATTTAACTTTAAAATTTAACGGATATATCCAATAAATAAGTATAATAATTGAAAGTTTTAGGTTGTGGTGTATATATAGGTAAAACATTTTAAAATAGCCAAATTTAAAAGGACCGAAACGTAACATTGTAAATTTTTATTATTATTTTTTTTTTTTGTTAATTTAAGAAAATATATTAAGAATAATATCGTTTTATTGTTTTATCGGGGTTGAAGAATATTACGTTAACGTTACAATTTAATTTAATCCAAATTATAATTTATTTTATAAAATATAAAATATTTAAAACAATTATAACCCAATTAAAACGATCTGTTTTTAAAATTAAAGGTATATATCGGCAATTAATTTTAAATTTTATAAAAGATATAAGCTACTCTCACAAAAGGTTAATAAAACTGAATGCATACTAATTTGGAAACTGTATGCGACAAAAACAATTTGGGCATCCGTGTAAGATTATTTGCTTTTGAGAAGGTTAATGAATTCTTTTATCAGGAATAAATCTTTTTCTTTAAAAAAAAAACAAAAAGAAAATCATTGCAGAAGGCCAAATCATAAAGGTGTTTTTATGGCTTGCATTAACATTTGAATCGGCAAACATACAATCATCCTCAAACAAAAAAAAAACATTATTTTTTCCTGCAATTTTTTTTATCTTGTTCTGCTTTTCAGTCAAAATTTATAAGAAATCTCAAAGTCATTGGACATATTCTATCAAAATATCGTAATTTATATTTCTTGTCAAAACTGAACTGATGTTTTTATGAACATTTTTATTTCATTTTTTCATTATTATTGGGACATTTATTTAATTTTTAAATTTAATCAATAATACATTAAGGTTTGAAGTACTTCAAACACATTTCATAACTAAAAAAACTTTTTTAAAAGTACTGTTAGAAATCATAATTAATTTCAAGGCCTTTACAAAGTACGATTGTTTTAATATTTTCTCTTTATTTAAAACTTCCTTTTCCTGTCATTTAATTTCGTAAATTTCTGAAATAACACTTATCAGTAGACTATTAAAAAATACACAATTTTACCAAAAATATAATTCAATTAAAATACTCTTAACAACAAAAATTACTTTTTATTTATTTGCCAACAAACTGTGACAACATAATATAACATGAATAAATAGATATGTGAAATAGTGTAAACAAATATTTTACTTTATATCGAGTAATTTTGTGAATTGATTTCATACCAGTAAACTTCCTGTATTTGGATTTTCTTTATAGTATTTCATTGCATTTACATTATTTTTGTCTGAGTTTTCCAATCATCTCTATAATACATACCTTCTAGATATTTCACACATTTCCTAGTTAGTTATTTCTTTTAAAACTAAAAAAACAAAGAGTGAAATAATCATATATCACTGCACTTTATATATATATATATATATTATATATATATATATTATTATTATATATATATTATATATATATTATTATATATTATTATTATTATATTATTATTATTATTATTATATATATATATATATATATATATATATATATATATATATATATATATATATATATATAAAGTGCAGATATATTCGAATAATAGGAATAAACTGGTTTAATATCAATAGGCGACTGAGAGGCGGCTGGGAAAAACCTACTAAATCGACCTCCTTCTGTAAATATATTAAATATTTGGCGAAGTTATCCCCAGTTCTTTTCCTTTATATGCCTTCACTTATTTTAAACTCTAGTTCTTTTTGGGAAAGGAATGCTTTATTTGCTTATAAGATTAAATTATCCTATAACTATTCTTTAAGGTCTTTAAGCTTATCCCGACTACCGATCCTACATAAAGCAGATATATCCATATATATTTCATGAATGTGAATATAATAAAATAACTTATCTGAATAGATCACCATTTTAGGATAAAATCGGCTAATGTAATGATTCATAAGATCGTCCCATCTCATCAATAAAAATTATTTATTTAAAAAATCGGAAATAATATGCCTCGGATGTATTGATTTAAGTTATAGCAAGTTTCTAAACTAGACGATAATTCCATCGAAGGATTTCATCAATTGATTGAATTAACAATCATGGACAGCTAATTGTATAATTAATTAGTCCATTTAGGAATAATTTAATGAATTCCAGCGGAATATTCCTAGGAGGTTACAAAATCCAAGAAAACTAAAAAAATATGTAAGGAAATAATTATTTGCTGAATTATTGAATTTAAGAACAGAAATAAATATAGATAGAAAGAAGACTGAATATAAACATGTAAATAAAATTGATAAATAAAAACTTGTAATTTATAATATTTATAAAACTTATAATGCGGTTACATACAGGGGATCCATCGATTAAAAAAAAACCGATGAAACTTCCGAGGCATCAGTGACTCAATCGCTGAATAAAGAAACGTGTGGTATTCCATCAATGTGTTTAGGAACGGTTTGACAGCGTTCGGATGCCATCTAAGGTATGTGCTTAGCGCTTTGAATTTAGGAACTTGTCCTTAATAATTTTATATTTTTGATATTTCCGTTGAAGGAAAAAACGAATAGTTTAACATTCAAAATCAATCATTTTAGTAAATTATTCTTAGATTATTGAAGGATTAAAAAGTCGCCACTAAAGGATTAAAAAGTCGTCCTATTAAATCCGAAACTCCTTAAAATATGGTTATACTACTAGACCAATTAAAGTATAGCACTATGTTTATATTTTAATCTTAGTAAGTTTTTGAAGTGATTAGAGTAAAAAAATACAATATTTTAACATTTTAGTATAAATCCTGACCTAAATCTGTGCATCGCAAACTACTGTTACTGATAACGGACTAAGTTTAATTAAATCCGAGCCCTTGGCATACCTGAGGCTTCGCGATTCCCAACTTTAAGGCAGGAATTCAATTTACAGGTAAATTAATTGTCTAACGACTCGGGATAGGAATATCGCTAACGGTTAAAATAATTTATTTCAATTAACACAAATTCCTTACTAGTTGTCAATTAGACTTACTTTTTACCTCATTACGGCGAAGCAGCATTTAGAAGTTATTTTTTTATTATCCGCTAAAAGGTATGTTGCTACTATTTTTGCGTACGGTTGTACCAATTTCTAAGTTGATGTCTAAAATTATTTCGTGAGATTCTGAGAGTGTTTTAAGATATTTTAGGCTCAAAACATCCAACAAATTATTGTATACAATGTGTTTGAATCTATCCTTTAAAACGTATATAGCGATTTCTTGAGCGAACTGTTATACCGATTTCAGAGTTATATGGCTCAAATAATTCATTGAGATCTTAGGAATGTTTTCAAAATATTTGAGCTCCATATACTGAAAACAAATATTTTATTATATTTTAAGTATCTTCAAATTTTCGTTGGTTCATATCATATCATATGCAAGATCGTAGTAATATTTTTTTGAATATAAGTTGTCTAAACATGAAATAATAAAATATTTTCATTTAAAACAAAACTACAGAACTTTGGCAAATCATTTCCATTCTAATCGAATGTACTTCCATACCTACTTACACCTTAGTATATTTTATTAGGAAAATTGGTATCTACCTATTTTCAAACTTGGTGTAGTTAATAGTTGGATGCCTTTGCATGTGTCGGTGCATTTCATCATCTGAAAGAGTCTAAATTTTGTTCGGGGACGGATGCACCCGACTATTATAGCAAGTTTGAATATTTTTAGATCTCAATTTTCTTATCCAATTACCTAGATGTTTCAAGTTGGTATTCTAATACATTCTCTTAGAGTGGTAAAGATTTCTTTATTTCTATAGGTGTTTTTTTTTAAATTAATTAGTATTGTTTTCTTTAGTGATGTAATAAAATTCGATTAAAGGGATTGAAGCTCGATTGACGGGATCGATTGAAGCTTTTTTAAATAAACTTAACAATTTAAGGAACCGTACAAGAAAAGACAGGGTCACAATTTCACTACGCAACCCAAGGACGCGATACCCTACTATTACCCCACTTTCACTAAAGCATCTGGATTCGTCATGGCGAAGAATTATTCATGAAAACCTGAGTGGAATGGATGTTATCTCTTAATTATGGACATTTTGCAAGAGTCGCCGATGTTAGTAATTCGTAATATGATGTTCTTGTGCAACGATCGTGACTGCGACTTATGGTCAAGTCCCCATTCATCTTACAAGGTTGTTTTACATTGCATTTTTACAACGATTTATCTTTACTTACTACAGTTATTATAAGAACATTTAAAGTTTATTATCTTAAGGATGAAACTAACATTTAGCAAGAATTCTAATGTAAAGACACACATATATCTTAGTAATCCATCTAAAAATGCCCAGATATCCGGAGAAAAAAAAAGCCTCGACAGGATGCTATCATAAGAAAATAGAAGCTTCTTTTGTGCGAGTGGAACGGTGATGCCATTGTTGACTGTTGGCTGACTGAGGAGGAAAAGAAAGGATAAGATCCGGAGGCGACTAGCGTGAAGACTTTGAGTAGCGATGGACCGTGACCACGGACTCGATGATGATCGAGAGGTGGAGGTGTGGACGGAGAAGGGAAGGCAGCTGATATCGGAGGTCAAGAAGAAATCCAGATGTTTTGATGTGTTGATGGGTATGCGGAAGCCATTACTCAGCTCTCAGCGGGAACTTTATGGCCTTATTTTCTGACTTCATCAACTTCACATCATAAAAGAGCTGAAGGGGTTTGGAAAGAAAAGTTTAGATTACTAAGATTAGTTTTTCAATCACATAAGAGTTTATGGGCATTCGCACTGAAGTTTCTTTGGATGAAGCCTATGAATCATTCAGTAATGAAAGACTTAACGAAATCTTAGGTTCTTTATACGTTTTGTAGCCGTATAATTTCTTCGATTCATAAAGGCGTTGTTTATCCTTTAATGTAAGCGGTCACGTTTCGCATCTGTAAAGAACCGCAGAATTTTTAAAATTTATTTTTAAGTTTTGGAAGAGAAGCCGTTAGCCAAGTAATATTGCAACCAAAAAGTAACAAGTATTTCCAGCCTTTGACTTTCCCTCTTTTTAAATTAAAGTCTTACATACTTTTAATCTAATGATTTCTGAAATAACCGTAAACCAAAATTTTAAATTTATAGCTTAATTTCATTTTTAGTGTTCCAAGCATTTATTTTTGGTGGGAGGTCTGAAATGTTGATTGCTTAAGGCTCCACTAATCATGATTCCCCTTGATCGGAATTCTTGATTAAATTACGGGGCATTTAGGCCCTGCCATTAATTTAAGAAGTAATAAATTTATGGATATTGATGAATTCCTTGCTCCACCATAATTTGGCCCTAGGACTCGTTTTTGAAGCGGCAAGATGTCTAATTTGACAGAAAATTATATTTCACAATAAACTTCCGATTCGATTCATCAGTCTTAGATTATTTTCAAAGGTAAAAACTTTCTTTAAAATGGTTTTAAAATTAAGCTAATCCACGTAACAAATGTTTTATACAATGCCATAAAATAAAGAGTATCGCATACAAAATGTGACATAAGCAAATCAGCATAAATATTTTCAATTTTAAAATGTCTTTTTCTCTTCTGAAAATGAAAAAATAATGTAAGAACTATTCATTAAATGTGGAGTTTTAATATTAGGAATGATAAGTAATAATTATAATATAAACAGGAAATTATATTTACGCAGAAATTTCTTTACAGAAAAGAGTTTGTAGCCATTCAGGGCGTTCCCAGAAGAGAGTTTATGGCGAAAGTTTCGTTATGAAAATTTTTGCGTGTGATAAATGTTTATGGGGCTTTGAATTTTTAAGGTTATTTGTTGGTTTCATTTTTTTTTGTTTTTGATTCTGTATTGAAATTTATTACAATCTGCCACATGTAAGGACAATAAATAATACTCGTTCACAGTATATGCAATAAATAAACAGCAAAATAATAATACTAAAATTAAATATACATAAACTAAACTAATCAAAATGACTACTTAAATACACAGATGCTTTTATACAATATTTACAAAATTGATTCGCTCAACATCTCCGAGCCAAGCCTTTCCCTCCATTCGTAGAAGAAAAGGCAGGAGCCTATGAGATCCCAGCGCCTCTCACTCAGCCCCATTACTGGTTAAGGAGGTTAAGAATTTTCGGAAAGAAAAATTGTTTTTTGATGTGCCAATTTGAAGGATCCTCCAAATCAGGTAACAAAGAGAAAACATTACAATTTTTCTAATTATACTTTCGTTTGCAATATTTTTGAGAAGACAAGGGCTATAAAATCTCTTGAGAATGGAGTGTGCATTCGACCTTGAGTGGGGATGAGCACCTCTGTAGCCATTTCTATTATTTATGTTTATTTTTTAGCTTAACCAATTCTTTTCGGTCCTGGAATGCTAAACAATTGATCAGGTAGATGATTTTTTTTTTGGGGGGGGGAGAAAGGTGTTAATGAAATATGCGGATTCGATTATCATCCATGATGGGATCTTGAAAATCCACTTGTTCCAACATAAATTTATTCCTCTTTTTCATTTCTTGATCATTTCATTATTAGCGGCACAGACCCCTATTTATGTAATCATTAATATCCGCCTACACATTCGTGAATGGCTTCATCTCATCGTAACCTACAACGTACAGTTTTCATTTGGAGATCGGTAAACTTTGTCTAATTAGTGAGGTGCTATATATAACATCCATTTGCGCTCTGTGGTCTACTAAAATATTGACCCGTTAGGCATGACCTCCGCCAACAACATATCAAAATAACAAGGTCATAAAGGCCAAACGGCACAATGTTTTTGTAGGCCACCTTTTTTTTCTCGATTTTGTGATCAAATCATGTTATTCTAGTGGAACGAACGTAATTGGGTAATCATGAGTCTTTTGTACCTCGTTAAATTAATTACAAAATGCTCCTATTTCTGAGAATTTTCATAAAATAAAAAGGTTATGGGTTATGATTAAATGAAGCCATTCACGAAGTTTTAAACGAGTGTTTATAGATCGATAAAAATGAGTCTTTACCGTGGACTGTTCTACTGAACAATGAAGTGTTGAATTCCGAATTCTGGAATGCTGTGCATTGTTACTTTTCCGTTTGAAGCGACAGCTAGCTATAGAGAAACAATGATTCTTCGTCCACTTTTTCACGGGTTCGAATATCTGAATTAGGACCCTCCCCCCTCCCCTGCGGGGGATTAGGGGTGACTAATGATGCTGGCTCGGACACAATTAATCCCGTTGTGCGATGGCAGCGCCCCCTATTAGCCGCTCTAATGTATTATTCATGTTCTGTCCTGCGGAAGAGGTCTTCAAGGAGTGAGCTCTACGGCGAGTACTTCCGGCAGTTCCGATCACCCACTGCCTTCCACAGTCCAGGTCACCTAACAATTTGGAATGATGTCCTTCCATTTGCAATTTATCTCTCCAAGGGGTCATTGTTTGCAAAATCAGCGATTATATTCTAATTGACTTTTCACGGCTGGCTTAATGAATTAATTTAAGCGGTAATTGATTCCTCTGCCGTTTTTCATCATTTTTAATTGCGGCAATTATGACGTCACTTGTTAATTAATCCTCATTAAATTTTAATGTCTTTGTATTCTAATTATTATGTTCGACTGATGACTCATTAAAGAGATTATGACTAATAAAATTCTACCTACGGATGGTAATTATAATAAGTATAGCTACCTATCCATGTTGATCAAACATTATAGAAATCAATGCTTAATAAATGGTGAATACATAAAAAAATAAAATATTAAAAGCTAATATAACATCTTAGAGCAACTAATCTAAGTGGATGTCTTGTAATTTAGGAATTTATTAAGTTCCTCAGAGACCGAAAGAATTGATAATCGCTTGGAGCTAAGCCTGGTGATTAGGGAGGTTGAGGCAAAAGTTATCCAGAACTTAACAATTTATTAATGCCACGTTGATTAAGGGGTGGAATACCAAAACATCAAGCTGCAGCCGAGCTTGTGCACAAGGTTTTCTAGGCTTGTGTGTAACACTATGGGGATTGGATAGGATTTTGATCCACAATGGTGTTAACATTGTAAATTTCAATTTTTTGTGGGGGAACAGACCGTGGAGATTGATGTCAAAACTTCCAGAACGAAATTTGACTCAACAATTTTGACACGTGCGATCTGTTAAGATAGATAAACACTGCAAAAAAATGTTATGAGCTTCTGCACCATGCTTAATTAAATAATGCAGTACAATTTGCCAAATAACGAATATGCTACAGTGCAATACCAAACACTGACCTTATCTAATTTTAACAAGAGTTTACAGCTATGGTTGTTGATATATTGCAAATAGGATAAACTGTACACCTTAGGGATTAATTCTTCAGATGAGAACTTAAGAATTATATGTTAAAAAAATTAAAAGAAAAACTGAAAGGACTTATTTGCCAACCCTAACACTTTCTTCATCTTCTGAAGTTCTAAACCAATATAATTCTTTTTCCAATAACTAGTTACATATCATGCGTAAATTAGTCTATAATAATTACAAGCTTATATATATTTATATTAATATTATATGATCCTTCATATTTTTATATGACGATTGCCAGGAACCATGAATCTTCTTACTGGAGCATGAAAATCGCCTCCGTTCTCGAGTTTTTTCTAATATTACGGTTCCGTCAGAGTTTACGGTCTCAGTTTTACTACCTTTTCCACCGAACTACTTGTTTTATTAGAATTTCATTTCTTGTATTGCTTTGTGATTTACGATCTTTTTTATAATTTCCGATGGCTCGGGAGTAAAAGACGGTTAAACGAGCGTTTCCTGTTTTTATTTTGATTGAATCTTGATCATGAAACTTTTAAACGACCCATGATATTATTGACCTAAATAATTTTTTCTTCGTCAATATATACTTTTTTTTAATCTAAACAATTTATATAAAAATTGAAATTCAGGAATAAGTAAATTTAATTTATCTATTTTCTATTTGACCCATAAGAATAAGTAAATAAAATAAGTATTATGAGATGGAGAAATCAGTTTTATTTTCCTTGGTCGATTATAACTTTAAATAATAAATCAAAACATTTGTACAAATTATAATTTGCTGCATGTTTGCTAAACCTAGTCCTATTTCGATTTTTTTTTTTTTTTTATTTGGAAACCTTTCAAATTCTTATTAAAATGTGCGTAAAGAAAGGTTCTTTTTCTTCATAATATATTTTCTTAACTTTTCTGAGGCATCTGTTTATTTTCCGCCCTTGAATGATAAAATAATGGACCAATAATTAAATCTTATGAAGAATTGACGATGATATCGTTAAATAAGGACAACAAAAGATCTTTGAGGAATATTTAAAAATATAAGATGTCAGACATGGAATAATAAAACTGCACGCTACTATTTCAGAACTGTATGCAACAAAAAGAAATAATTAGACCCAAAGTAGTGCTTGTAGGATCCTATGCTCTTAAAAGGGTTGATGGATTTTTTTAATCGAGGATATCTATAAATTAAAAAAAAAATAGATAAAATCATTTTTATGGCTTGCGTTACCATTACCAAAACCATTATTTTTCTCCCCGAATGTTTAGTCTATTTCTGGTTACAAGCAATATTTGGCTAACTTATAATACGATGCACTATCATTACATTTTTACGGAAGATTTTCCGATTAACAAAACTGAACCGATATATTTTCATGAATAACTGTATGAGTATGGTAGTTGTTCAGGTCTAGACCCCTTTTTATCAAATTATTAACATCCGCCTAAAATTTCATGAATAGCTTCATCATTCATAACCTACAGTTTTGAGCAGATCGGCAAACTTTTTTCAATTTAATGAGATACTAAAAACTCATGAATACATGAAGAAAAAGGTGGCCTACAAAAATATTGGGCCGTTTGCCGTTACATCCACCACCGACATGTCAAAATAACGTAGTTAAAAGCCAATATCTTTGTAGGCAACCTTTATTTAAGAGGTTTTTAGTACTTGAATATTAAATTAATTAATTTACTGTAATACGCTCATTTCTGAGAATTCTCACAAATTAAAAAAGTTTTAGGTTAAAATGAGATGATACTATTAACGAAGTTTTAGGTGGATGTTAATAATTTGATAAAAAGGGTTACCAGAGGGGCCACGGTACAGAATGGCTGCTTAAAAAATACCTTTAAAACCATTGGTACTAAGTTCATAACGCCATTACCTTTTCTAATATTGATCCGATTTGGATAATGTTTTTTCTCTTTTTTTTTTCTTTTGTTACTCGTAGAAATTTTGATTGTTTTTCAAATCATACCTTAAAAAACATTAAGGCTTCACATTTATTGGACTTTATTATTTTTATTTGTTATTATTTTTACCTGACAGTTGGTTAAATTTTAATTAGATTGCAGATGCCTACACCCGTTTTCGAAAAATTAAAAATTATGTTAATTATTAATCAGCACTATGTCGGTAACTAATTTGTTAGATCCTGTGACCATTATTATGATGTATAGGTCACATAGAAAGAATTTCTGCACAGTTCGACTTCCTCCAAAAGTTGATCCTGAACAGACCGAGCTGTTGAAAGATGTCGAGGCGATGCGTTGGGTTATAAAGTTGACTAAAAGCCCATTCATTAACAGCACTGTGACACAAGGCTAGTAATTATAGTAATTATTATAACGTCATCATTACTAGGCTGTCTCTGCGCCTGCTAACTTTACTCAGAGCTTGTTATTTCCTCGATTATCTTCTCTTACAAGGAATTGGATAGGAGATGGATCTCTCAAAAGATAAAAAAATATTTTCTCCATAAATTATTGTTTAAAAAATTTTGTCTGCTGTATTTTCGTTATTGTCATTTTTCCAAGACAAAGTCCAAACAGATATTACAAAATAATTCAAATAAATGAATTGGACAAATAATTAAATAAGAAGTAAGAGATTAATAATAATAATAATAATAGGCTAACCATGAATGATGTGAATTATTTTAATTACTTTTATGTTTATATTATTATTATCTCATGTATACTTCCGATCTTTCTATCTTAGTTTATTTATGGAACTGGTCATTTAATTGCATATGCGTTGAGTTCCGGTTACCTCCTACTGTTCTAATACAAAATAAACATTTTAGATTAAAATTTTGTACGGGAATGGTTATATTTTATGCAGATAAAAAAATTGTTTTTATGATGATAGAAAATAATACAATCTGAGCTACAGAATACATGCAAATTAAAGTTATACGATTTGACCAAGGAGTATTACAATTAAATGAACAGTTAGTTATTTCGGTGTTAGGCGGATAGGGAATATACCCCTAGTCCATCTATAAAAATAATTTTTCTTCTACAAATTTGTATGTATATATATATATATATATATATATATATATATATAATTTAATTAATTATATATATATATATATATAAAATTTATTGTTAACTAATTAGGTTAGGAAAAAAATAATTTTACCTTCTAAAAACTGCTTTTATTTATTTTTTTTCCAATACATCAGACATTTTTGGTTGATTAGTCCAGAACGTTGGCTGTATGTACTGTAAGAGAAGTTTTAAAAGGATTACGTTGTTATTTCTTTGCATTATGATACAAATGGCAATAAAAGTATACTCTCATTTTATAGTTGATTTTAATTACTTGATAAAACAGTACTGCTCTTTACCATTAAAATATTATGTTCATCGTGCCAAGGTCAGTTGTAAAATAGTCATTAATGTCTTGCCTGTATTAACTTTATAGTTCCTAACTTAGAGGCAATAATAGCCGTGAATAATGCCAAGGCACTGACTTCAGTCGTCGGGAAGTTTTGGAAGACCGAAATATAGTAATTTAAATTAACAGAAAAAAAAAACAGTAATACAAAAAATTCGATAAAGATAATTATTGAGGATGAATAAAAACGCACGAAAGTATTCCTTTTTCATAGAGTGTCATAAAAGGATTCCTTTTTGACGGGACGTTCAAGTGGAGTTAGAGGAACGAATGTGTATACCACCCTAAAAATCGATAAAGGAATAAGAGGTAGCTAATTTTTTTATAATTTATTAACTCTAATGCTAATGAAAGCCGGTTGTTTGGGAATCTGTTACCGACATACATTTGGTTAGAAATTGATTCCTCTGTTGATCAATTAATCGATATTAATTCATGTCAGTGTGTATAGAAGAGAAAAATGACAGTAATAATTCAAATGACTTTTCAACGAGTTCTATTCAATGGCGTACATAGGTCAAGGGCCTGAGGGGACGGTTCACATCCAGTCCCATTTACTTAAAGGGCCCCACGATTAGAACTTTTTTCTTTAACTTAATAAATTTATTGTCAAAATAAATTATACGTTATCAAACGCTTTCTTTTTTTAAATCCACCCCTGGCTTAGGCGCAGGCTTTCCATTTTGGTTGGAATCGATGGACGCCCAAAAAAAAGTTTCAAGAATTTTTATTGTATATGTGTTTATA